ATCACCAAGAGCCATTCCTCAATAGATAAATGATCAAACAATATGAACACTTTTTTAAAGAATTGCAAATTATAAATTGCACTAATTGCTATTTGGAAATATGCTTCAAATCAATAATAATACAAGAAATGCAAATTAAAAGATCCCTGAGGTTTTGCCTTTCACCCAGACCAAGATAACAAAAATGGAAATAGTCAATGTTTGAGGAATTGTGGGAAGAAAGGAACACTAATATATTGCTGGTTGAGCTATGAATAGGTCCAACCATTCTAGCCAACCATTTGGAATTATTTAAAAAATTTAACTTAGTTGATCATATTTTTTGGCCAAATAAATTCTTTTACTAGACATATGCCAGCAAGGAGTTCAAAGATAGAAACAAGAATCTCAACAGGACTCTCTGAGGCAGCAAAATGCTGGAAACAACACGAATGCTTATCAGATGGAGAATAACTGAGTAAACTGTGATATATAAACATAATTAATATTATTTTGTAGTATAAGAGGAATTTAGGGAAAAATAGGAAGATTTACATGAACTAATGCGGATTAAAATAAGCAAACCAGTACAATATGCACAATGACAACTAAAATAGAAAGGAAAACATCTCAAGAAGGAACTTGAGCTCTGAATGATTGAGAAAGGGGAAAAAATTAGCCTAGAGAACAGATAAGGGAACATACCTATCTCCTTACAACAGAAGTTGGGGGGAAGGGGCATAGCAGGGTAGAATATTGTATATATTATTAAATACGGTGACTATGAGGTAGTTTTGATAATTGTTTTCCTTTGTTACAAAGGAGGGTTGGATTGGGGGGAGGGAGAAGCAAAAGTATAAATCTAGAAATAACTGAAGTAAAAATCAAATGCTTCAATAAAACATTTTTGAAGCATAAAAAAAAAGTACCAGGTAGAACTATTACCTCGCAAACATCTCTGATCTTATAGGTATCATTATAGTATCACTGATTCTATGCTGTTAGAACTATCCCATTTTGTTTTTCTATAGGCTTCAGGAAATAGACAACATTTTTATATAATCTACTCACTTTATTTATGCCTGAGGCCATTTACTGAGACAATATGATTTTACAAGCTAAAATGAAAAATCTACTGGGGGAAAAACTATATAGATTGAGTTTTCAATTTAGTAGAACTACTGACTCCCTTGCCTCCATTTTTTTAATATTTTATTTTTTTCCAATTACATGTAAAAAAATTTTAACATTCTTTTTTAAAATTTTAAGTTCCAAATTCTCTCCCTTCCTCCCTTCCCTCACCCTCCCTCCTTTCCCTCACACTCTCCTGAGATGGCAAACAATTTTATATAGGTTATACGTATGCAGTCACGCAAAACGTATTTCCATATTAGGCATGTTGTGAAGAAAACACAGACCAAGAAAAAAAAAAAAGAAAGTGTTTTAAAAAGTGTACTTTGATCTACATTCAGATTCCATTGGTCTTTTCTCTGGAGGTGGATAGAATATTTCATCATGAGTTATTTAGAATTGTCTTGGTTCATTTCCTTTCTTTTAAAGAATTTTTATTATAAATTTTCTTCTTCAATATTAATTAAACATCATTAAATAAACATTCAGAATAAAAAGGAAAACTGTTTATGCAACTAAAAATGTGTACACAAAACAATTCAACACAATTCAATGCCATTTTGTTTTAAGTAAGGCTCAATGACTATTTTTCAAGCTGGAGACAAAATGAAAAACTCATACGTATACAATTCATTTCAATTCAAAAAATATTTAAGTGTCTACTGCGTACAAGAAGCTTGGCTTCCTAAGGTATCCTCTACCTACAGTCCAGCTATCTTAGTAGTCATTCTGTGGTCCCAACATTATTAAACATTTTATTTGTGATGTAGACCACTAACGGCCCCATTATATTTTCCTCCTCCCACCACTGAAATTCTGTTCTATATCTTAAGCTCCCTCATCATCTTCCTCCCCATACTGTACATCCATGGCTCCTACATCCTCCTACTAAGAGCAGTGCTGCAAGTTAGCTGCTGGCCGGCATAAGGCCTTCTCTATACATCTATGCCATCTGTCTGCAGCCTGTCTCTTCTTTGGGAGCCTATGATCATATATGTGAACCCAACATCTGAAAGCTCAGGAGAAGTGTAGAAGATAACCTTGTTCTATTCAACAGAGATTCTCTTCTTAAACCCTCTGATCTATATAGCCTTCAAAATAAGACAAAGGCTACTCTGAGAAAAGTCATGGGCATAGCTTCAGAATAAACAGTCACATATGTGAATTTTACATATGGTTCCACATTCTAATGACTTCAACAAACATTAATCACATGTTTGTTATTAGCAAAATATTGGAGGAGATACAAATATAAACAAAAGATCACTGAGAAAAGAACCTTCTCCTACTAGCCTGAAGATCATAATTCAATGAATTCCTGGGAATCAGCACAGGAAGGTTTTTCTTCCTTTATCCATTCATGTACTGCCTGTCCTGGTCCAGCTGAACTTCAACTGAATGACATTAAGAATAAAGCAGAACCATTAACTGTCAAACATAGATGATCTCATATGTGTCAAAATGATATTATTGATTCTGTCCTATTTGAATTATCCCATTCTGTTTTGACATTGGCTTCTGGCAAAAGATACATTTTTATACAATCAACCCATTCTGTTTGTTCCTACCACCATTCACTGAAGCAATATGGTTTTGGAAGCCAAAATAAAGAAACAGAGATTTTAGTGTGAGATGCTAAGCCTCTCTTCTTCATTAGAAAAAAGCCAGAGGTGTGCTGGAGGCTGTAAAATTTTTAGCATGAGCATTTACAACTTCAAAGTCAGCAAAAGCTACAAAGCAGGGATCGTTTTATTATTTTGTTGATTGTCTAGACTTAAGAAAGATAGGGAGAAAATTTTAATAATGCAGACTAAATTTAAATGTGTGTCAGCCATGTGTTATTCCAAGAGACAGTTTTTAAATATTTGCCAGCATACCTCTGCTAACACCCTATCTTTTCTGTTTTCTTCTTCTTGGACTCACAAAATGTAAGCAATAGTCAGTCTGTCCTTGTGTTGAACCTTCTGCTCTTTGGTCCAAGATCTTCAGGACTGTTGCAAGTTATTTGTCTTGAGATTGAAAGATAGCTTTTGGCTGCTCTGAGAAATTATTTTTTACTTTGATGGATTAGTGATCCCAGCAACATGGACATTCCCCCTAGTGATACAGAATGCAACCTTTTACATCCTCTCTGTCTACTCAGTTCTTATCCATGTCATTCCATGAATCCTCCTTAAGCAATCTATAGAATATTCTGGTGGCCTTCCTCTCTGTCTTTGAATTCTGAATGGGTACATTTTGTAAGGTTTCAGTAATCTAAAATACACAATGAAGCAGCAACAATAACATAAACTACAAAAACAATGAAACAAAAATTAACTTGGACCTGGAGAGAAAATGAGGAAATGCACCTTCCTCCTTTTCTTGGAGAGATGAGGTATTATAGGAAACAAAAAAAAATTTTATATGGTTACTGTGCTAACAAGTTACACTTAACTCTTTTTCTTTGTGATAAAGGAATATTTGTTGGATTGGTATGGGATAGGGGTTTTTAGAAATGTCTGTGGTATAAAAACAAAAAGCATCAATAAAACATTAATTAAAAATATTAAATATACAAAAGATTCACACTGAAGCTACTGAATACTTATGTATAATTTACTCTGAAATTCTTTATGAGCAAAAAGTGAAAATCTAAACATTATTACTCAAAAAATTGAGTAGAACCCTCTCTTATCCTTTATTCTCACTAAAAGGTAAGTCCATCTTTGGTACTTATCTAAGATACATAAAGAAATATAAACATAAATAGGCTAAATCAATGAGCTTTCCAATCTAAGAAATTTATATTCTAAATCCACCTGTTTTGGACACTGTGGACTATTAGCTCAATTGATTTTGGCCACAAGATGGCCGTGTTCTCTGCTGTGACTCAATAAGAACAATATTATTTACAAAAAAAAGAGCTTCTGTAGGACCCTGCAATCCAGTGGGGATCTCATTCTCATTTCCCATTTCCAACTCTGCAAAAGACATACTCCAGGATGTCGGCAAACACCTTTAGCAGCATTGATTTTATTTTCTACACATTTTAGTCAACTGTATGACTATAAAGATTCACTCCCTATAAAAAATCATTTTCAAAGGCCTCAGTAGTCTTTTCTTACATTTTCATCAAGACTGCCTTCAAGATGCATTTAACATATTGTCATAATTTATGTAAATGAGAAATTAGGTATATGAGTTAGCAGCACTGTCACCATTTTTGGTAATGTAGCAGGCATGCACCAAAAAGGAATTAGATAAACCATCCCCTTTCCTAGGACACCCACACAAGGGAGGAAACTGTTGCCATATAAGAAGGATTATGCAGCCCAGAGCAAAACATACATATGCAAGTTTTGAAAACTAGATAGAAATACCCAGCATCACATGAATATAAAGTGAGTCCGATACTAAAGTTTTATGACCTCTGGAGGGAAGGAGCCACTGCCAGATGGGTAAGCAAAATCAACAGCATATCAAAAGAAGCGGGCTTAGATTCTTAAAATTTAGCCAATAGTTTATTAATGTTCAGAATCCTTAAGTTTGCCCACTATGACGGATGTTCTAATAAACCTTGTCTTTGGCTGAAAGAAGGCTTGGGTTGAATTCTTTTGGACAGGATCTGTGTGTTGTGATTTTGGGGTCCCAGCACCCCTAAACCCCTAAACCTCATCATGACCATTGGCAATTCATTCAGCCCTTCAGAGATTTTCTTGGCAACCCATTCATCCACTGCCTTTCGTTTGTGACAGATTATCTTGTCACTCTCTTCAGCATTTCTACCTGTAGAAAACACTACAAGCATGTTAATGACACACTCCCCACACTACCAGGGCTGCTGACTTCCTTTCCTTTACAAGGAGGAGCTGGACCGGTTCCTTCACAACTCATCCTTCTAGCCTTGCAGCTCATTCTTCAGCTATGTGCTCCAGCCCTGCCAGCTATGGACCCCAACTGTGACTGCTCAAATGGTTGCTCTTGCACCTGCGGTGACTCCTGCAAATGCAAATCATGCTATTGTACCTCTTGTAAGAAAAGCTGCTGCTCCTGCTGCCCAGCAGGATGTGCCAAGTGTGCCCAGAACTGTGTCTGCAAAGTCCCCTAAACCGAGAGCTGCAGCTGCTGTCACTGATGCTCCTGCCTCCCTGTGCCTGTAGAATAGAGGAATCTGTATATTTTCATGCACCATGAATGTTTTTCTACTTTTTCCATACGAAATATGTAAATGAAAATAAACTAACAATGCTTTTCTATAAAAAAAAAAGGGGGCAGAATAGGGGCAGCTAGGTGGTGCAGTGGATAGAGCACTGGCCCTGGAGTCAGGAGGACCTAAGTTCAAATCCAGCCCAGCACTGATACTACTAGCTGTGTGACTCTGGGCAAGTCACTTAACCCCATTGCCTAGCCAAAAAAAAAAAAAGAAAAGAAAAAGAATACTAATAGAAAGTGATCAGAACAATTGGGGAGCACAGAGCCAACGAGCAGTCAACCATAAAATCATGATATGCGGGAGGAAACTTGGACCAGTCATTGTACTTTGAATTTTATGGGTTGAATATCCAATAACCATGAATGGAGTATAATTTTTCTTACTCTCCATTGGATCAGGTATGAGTCCTCTGTGTACTATTGCATAAATAAAACTTGTCTGTGTTTACTACAGTGTATCTCAACAGTTGTCTTGCTGCCTCATGCATACCTTCTGCATAACCTTTTCTCCCTCTACTCAACCCCCATCTCAGTCCTGGAACCATAATCAACTCAATACTTATATTGTTCCTGGAAAGAGCTTGTCAATCTACTCCCCTACATCTCTACTCTTCTCAATACCCCTCTAACATTCCAAAACAAAATACTCGTCTCTCTAGCCACCACTCCCTTTTATTTTGTCTTCACCTATTAAAATATAAGCTCCTTCAAGACACAGATTGCCTTTATTTTATGTTTAAGTCCCCAGTACATAACAGTGCTTGGGACATGCTAGATATTTAATATATGCTTTTGAATTCATGTTCTTACAAGAGTAAGTGCTTAAAAGGTATCTGAGGAACTTTTTGAGAAAGAAATTAAACTAGATATTGATATATAATTTCTTTGGTTTCCTTGAGTAGGGGCATAAACCAGACAGATTTTGTGCAAGATATCCCCCTCACCTAAATTACAGCTGAGCGTTCACATCATGAGGTACATTGACACAAAGAGGATGTTTGGAGATGGTGTTCTCATCTGGAATTGTCACTGGGAATGATTTTGGAGGAGAAGTTAGACAATCAACTGAGGTATGGGCCACCAAGACCAAGTCAGAGGAAGGCCAAACCAGACCAGACAGACCATAACAAAGAAGTCTACCATCACTTCTATAGTATGTTTCTATGTGAGATATGTAATTTATTTTCTTAATACTTCATCTAGTTCTTCTTCCCTACTAACTAGTCTAGCATTTTCATCTTCACACAAATGAACTCTACCATATTTCCCTGCTTTGATTATTAGATTTCCTCACCTGTATATATTTTCTTAATATACAATTAGATTCTTCCTCCCTTTTTTCCTAGCCATATCTGTTTTTTTCTTTTTCATGTTTTTTTTATTTTGTTTAATTTACTTTGAACTTAAATACTAAAATTTAAATACACAATAAGAAAAGAAAAAGAAACATATTATAAGCTTGAATACTAAAACTTAAATGCAAAATAAGCAACAGAACATGAGAGGATTCAAAATATACAGCAATTAATTTCCATTTCAAGAAAACCTATATGGTAAATACTACACATTGTGTTCAGAGCTGTCCATCTTTTCTTTGCTTCTTTGTGTTCTATATCTTTTAGCTAAGTTATTCTAATATAGACATATAACCAAAGTTTATAATCTCAACAAGCCTCAGTGATAAATACAAGATCAAATTTATCTCCTTCCTTTACAATCTCTAGTTCATGTTGCTCGTTAGCCATTCTCTATGCATTCATTTGTAGATACCTGAAACCAGGTAATTATTTTCTTCTTTGTCTTCTGTGAACCTCAGATTGTCTCAATTGCCATTCTTCTTCTAACATTGAAGCTACTCTATCTTATCTACCTTGGAATATATAGGTAGGTAGTTTTCTCAAGCTTTCTTACCAGTTTAAAACTACTTTGATTAAATTTGAAAAATTATGTCAATAATAAGATATGCCACTATTGTATTTTAAGCTATATTCCAGAGGTCCAAGTCCAATTTTCAAATATTATCTTCACAGCCAACTCTTGATTTCCCAAATTGGCCTTTCCCTTTTGAATCCTTTGTGTTCAATAGACAGCAGCAATGAAATTATGACCTGTGCCACTAAACTCTTCAGGGATTATTTCTTTGTTTTGCCCAAGTCCTTATAATCATTAGAAATGCTTCCTAGGTTCTTTCTGGCATTATCATTTGTAGACACATGAATTACCATGAGTAATAGTTAGCTTGTCTGACAAGTCTTGTGAGATTTTCTGACACTTCTTGGCTATATGACTAGGGAAAACAACAGACATCTCTATTGGTATTGGATGAAAAATAGCATCCTCTCTACCTCCTCAAAAGAGAGCCACCTACCACGTCTTCTTCCTGTGCCACTGTGGGGTGTATGAGGTGTAAAGGGAGGACTAGCACCTCTGCTGTGAGAGCTTGCTGAGCCCTTTTCAGAGCTGCTCATCACCTTTGGTGTCCAAATAGTCACCCAGCTCTCACCTGTAGCATGCACAGTAGCCACATCCTGATAAACCATTTCAACAGACAGGCTAAACCAAGTTAAGAGTAAGTAATAGACCTCTAATTAGTCGGTGAGTTAGGGGGATGTCTACTCCAAGCATGTGAAGACTTCCTTCCAGCAGAAAGGGGAGATGAAAACAATTTGTTCCAATGTCCATGAAGCAAGTGCTGTGCAGAACTTAGAGTTTGGTCAGACATCAAAAACACCAAAATCATCCACTGAATCCCCTGCCATCCCCATTCATATTGACTTTTGTCTTGCCCCCTAGACTTAGATGACTCTGGAAGGAATAGTGAGGCTAACAACTTGGTAAAACTCTGCCTCACTTAAATCCAGTTCACATATAAGTCAAGATATCACCCTGTGATGTTACTGGTCCTCTTTGAAAATGAAGGTGGAATAACAAAAAAAAAAAACAACTAGAGACTCATTCTTCTGGCAGCTCCCATAGATCTATAGCCTCACTCCTTAGAAAACAAGCAGCTACTTCTTTTTCAGAAGTTCCAGCCCCACTCTACCAAGATGATCTTCATATCTCTTTCTTAATTCCATGTATCTAATGGTTTCTCTTCTTCATTTTTTCCTCTATGTGAATCTATTCTACTTGCCAACCTGAATCTTCAGAAAACTTTTTTTGTTGGCAAAGTAAAGCCCTTCTTCCATGTTTTTAAGGAATACTTCATTCTCCCTGATAACCTAGAGAGTGGAGAAATAGCCCTCTAGTCTCTTTACCTTCTCTTCTAGGAGGAAGACTAATCTGCTTATTAAACCTAGATAGCAATCATTTGGCTATTGCAGAAATATTTGTATTTCACACTAAATGCAGGCCATTCAAAACTGCCCCTACCAGCCATACTCACTGGAAGTGAGATCCTTAGTCTTTGCCTTGGTCAGTGCCAGCTGCCACCTCCCCAGGTCTTTACCTATGATTGATTGCTGGTACCCATCCAGACCACCATAATCTTGCGAGCAAGTGTGTCCTGAATCCACATCTTCCAACTACCACAGCAAGAGAATTCTAAGTGCTATGCTCACTAATCCTGAAGTTGAGTACATCCAGAGGTTGTTATTATCTCCCCTAAACAAATATTATGGCAAATTATTTGTGAGTGGCTTCAGATCTGGAATTATCACTCTCCTTGTCTTTCTAGAGGCTAATTAGCATGTTGAAAAACATAGCTGATTTCTTTTCCTTTCCGTCACTAATGCCTTTGCTTGTATTACTTGTCTTTCCAACTACCTCGTCATTCTATGAGTTCTTTTTCTTCTCCATCTCTTCCTCCTTTCCTTCTTTCTCTTCAAATGAGTCTCCTCCTTCTGCTTCACCTTTTCCTTCTTTAGTCCTTCACTTTTTCTCTCTTCCTAAAGTCCTCTCAAGTCAATTCCTTATGTTGAATCTCTAGCTTTCCATCTTCTTTAGCACAAATCTTTCTCCTTAACTTCTCCTCAAGTCTTCCCAAACTTGTTTTACTCAAATTTAATCTTTGGCCTTTTTCACAACTCCATTGCCCTTCAAATCACCTTCACAATTCCTTCTTTTTCTTCTCTTGCTCCTTCTTAAGCTCAAGCTATCCTCTTGGTCCTCCTTTCACAACCTTCTGCCACAGAAATTGGAAAGGGGATTATACTAGATTGCCTCAAGGTGATCAGGGAAAAAGGAACTGAACCTATATGTTCTAAAATATTTCTAGAAGCTCTCTTTGTGTTGGCAAAGAACTGGAAATTTTGGGGATGCCCATCAATTGGGGAATGGCTGAAGAAATTGTGGCATATGCTTGCAATGGAATACTCCTGTGCTATAAAAAATGATGAGCTGGTTAATTTTAGAAAAACATGGAAAGACTTGCATGACATAAAGAAAAGTGAAATGAACAGAACCAAGAGAACGTTGTATACACTAACAGTAATATTGTTTGAAGGATAATGGTGAACAACCAAGTTATTCTGAATATTACAAATACTTAAATCAACTACAAAGGATCTATGAAATAAGGTGCTATACGCTTCCAGAGAAAGAACCAATAAATAGAAGTATGCATGATATGGTTTTACATATATTTATAAATCTGTGTCAAATGGTGGTCCTCTCTAGTGCAGTGTGGTGAAGGAGGGAGGAGGACAGTTCAAAACTTAAAATGTAACCAAAAATTAAGTTAAAAATCTTTTAAAAGACATTGATGATAGATGTGAAGAAATAATCAGACCACGGCCAGATAGTCTCTGTTCCTATTTTCCACAACCATACCAACTTTCACAACAGAGAGGGAGAGAAAAGTACTAATCAGGTACCTACTTTGTGCCAGACACGTGCTAAATACTTTACAAATATTATCTCATTTGACCATCACAACAACCTTGTGAGGTAGTTGTT